AAATAGTAAAAAACAAGTAAAAAGGTGGAAGTTCGGCCGGGCTCAACTTTAAATATCCTCCACCATTTGGAACGAATATGAACATTTTCAAAAAAAAAAAAAAAAAAAAAAAAATAATAATAATAAATAAATAAATAAATAAAATCCGGTAAAAATGCTCTTAAAATCTTAAAAATACCGAATGTAGCGGTTATATTAGGGTATATACGACGACGTGGACCTGCACAGGCAACTTTTGTCATAAGCCATAACAATATTTAAATGCGAAACTTGAAAAAAATCAGAGAAAATTGTCGTTAAAATTATCAAAATACCGAATATCGGGAGGTACCGTTATATGGGGGCTATACGAAGACGTGGAGCTGCACAGAAAATTTTCTCTCATAGGCGGCAGTATCCATTATGAACATCAAACACCAAATTTGAAACGATTCCGATGAATAATGTCGTTAAAATCATCAAAATACCGAAAATCGGGAGGTACCATTATATGGGGACTATTCGAAGACGTGGACCTGATGTACTATCCATTACGAACTTCAAATACCAAAACAATTCCGATGAATAATGTCGCTGAAATCATCAAAATACCGAATATCGAAAGGTACCGTTATATGGGGGCTATAAGAAGACGTGCGCAGACAATTTTCTGTTATAGGCTATAGTATATATTACGAACTTTAAATACCAAATTTGAAATAATTCCTGTGAATAAAGTCGCGTAAACCACAAAAATACCGAAAATAGGGAGGTACTATTATATGGGGGCTATAACAAATCGTGGACCTACATGGCCCATTTTCAATACCAAAAGTCCTCCAGACATAATAGAAATTTGAGTAAAAATTTTATTTATTTGACCGTTCGTCGAGATATACAGGATGAGATAAAAAAAAAAACTGCAATCAACTTCAGACTGCTTTCATTCCTATGCCACTCGTCCAACAGCTGTTAAAATTATTCCAGAGACAGCTCATTATTTTGTTTAAAAGCGTTACAAAAGCATTTTGGAGAATTTTCCAGAAAAAAGTTATTCGTGATGGAATTCAAGCGTCATAGTGCGATTTCATTATATTTGGCTGGAAACCCACAAGTGGCTATCGTTAGAGCACTCCAGCTCGTTACCTTGATATTGGTAGCGTAGCCCGACGTCAGCTGTTATTTTGTAAACAAACAAAATTATCGTTTTTACTTAGTTGGCCAACCGCCGGCCATGGTGATGGTGTGGGCCGCCAAACAGCAGATGGTCGCTCTGCGCTCGTGTTAATTGATGGAGGGTGTATTAAAGCCTTGGGCATGCAAATATTTTGGCCGCAGACTTAGGACATTTCAACAGGAATTAGCACAATCGCACTCAGCACGTGCCACCCAAGAATAGTTACAAAATGCTTCATTTTTTGCTTCCAGCGCATAATGGCCACCAAAATCTCCGAATACCAATCCGTTGGACTATTGTGTCTGGAGTATTTTGGAAAGCAAGGTTGGGACTAAAAAATACCAAAGTGTCGATCACATCAAGCAAGCGCTTTGCAGGGAATGAGCCAAAATACTGCAGAGCAACATTTGGGCAGCGTGTGTGGTTTCATTGGCCATAATTCGTGACAAAGGTGACCAATTCGAACAAATCTAAACTTATTCTAAAATTTGATGCTATTTCTGGCATTTTTTGCTTTCATTCAATAAAATTAAAAAACAAGTAAAAAGGGCTTAAACTTATACCCTACACCACTGTGTTTAACAAAGTAAAATAAAATAATAACAAGTAAAAAAGCAGTAAGTTCGGCCGGGCCGAATTTTGAATACCCTCCACCATTGGAACGAATTAGAAAATTTTCAAAAAAAATTATTTTAAAGTCTCTAATATATCTTTGAAATATCTATCCCCTATATATGGGGGGATATATGATATTGTGGACCTATTAAGACAAATCTATGTCTGGGTGTAAAGTACTCACGAGGAACTCCTTGTGTGGATTTTCAGATAATTCCGTTGAAAAAAGTGGGTAAAATCATCAAAACGGGGTACCGTTATATGGGTGATATACGATATCGTTAACCTATGTAGACAATTCGCTGTCGGTAGGTAAAGTGCTCACAAAGAACCCCTTGTGTACAATTTCGGACCATTCCGTTGAAAAATGTGGGTAAAATCATCAAAATACTGAATATCGGGGGGTACCGTTATATGGGGGATATTCGTGGACCTATATAGACAATTCTCTCTCAGGGGGTAAAGTGCTCACAAGGAACTACTTGTGTGGATTTGGATTTCCATTGAAAAATGTGGCTAACATCGTCAAAATACCGAATATCGGGGGGGTACAGTTATATGGGGGATGTACGATATCGTGGACCTATAAAGATAATTCTTTTTCAGGGGCTAAAATACTCACCAGGGACTCCTTTTGTGGAATTTTAGACACTTCCACTGTAAAATATGGCTAAAATCATCAAAATACCGAATACCAGGTGGTACCGTTATATGGGGGCTATACGATATCGTTGACCTATATAGATAAGTCTCTGCCGAGGTATAAAGTACCCACAAGGAACACCTTGTGTGGATTTTCAAACAATGCCGTTGAAAAATGTGGGTAAAGTTATCAAAATACCGAATATCGAGGGTACCGTTATATGGGGGATATACGATATCGTGGACCGATATAGCCCATCTTCGAACTTGACCTGCCTGCAGACAAAAGAGAGATCTGTGCAAAATTTTAGCTTCCTATCTTAATTTGTTTAGACTCTAGCGTGATTACAACAGACGGACGAACGGACAGACGGACGGACAGGGCTAAATCGCCTTAGAATTTTACTCTGATCAAGAATATATATACTTCGTTGGGTCTAAAATGATTATTTCGATGAGTTACAAACGGAATGACGAACTTAATATACCCTCCATACTATGTATGGTGGAGGGTATAAAAATGTAAAAGTGATGACGTTTGACTTTGTTGCAGTTTTTTATCTACTATTTTGTACTTTTCGTGCAATTATTATCCAAATCCACAGCTGGATTCCTGAAATTTGATATAGCATCACTGGTTGTGTATGTTGTTGAGAGAAAGAACTGGTTTTGGATATGCTACTATTTTTGTTTCAAATGCTACTGAAATGAAATATGTTTGCGAAGATTATAGCAAAGATCTTGGCAACATTTATAAAATATTGGTCTCAGAATATTGTCTCTTTGGACGAAATCATTTTCGGAACATTTGGAGTCTACAACTCTACAGGGAGATATTCGACTTGGTGCAAACTTTTTACGTAGTAATGTTTTTATCAATATAGATCGTGTTCGACAGTTAACAACATTGGCTCATCTTTACTGTTGTCTCATCTCAAATGTTCAAAAATTTTTAAAAAAGGAAATATAAATAAATAAAAAAAAAATACTAAGGAAGTACCCGGCATTAGGCCTGAGCCGAAAAAGGAAAATAAGGGCCACTCTTTTTCGTACCTCACCACAAATGTCAAAATTCTGAATATTAATAATTCTTATTAAAGAATTAAATAATTCTATCCAAATTTTGTGCATCATCATCGAAGACAAATATTATGTATTATTCTAAGGTCATAGTGTTTTTCCATACCAAGCCGATAATTTTTTTCAAGAATATTTTTAAACAAAAAAAGTCGATTTTTATATCATATCTTTAATAGCCGAATTTTTTAAGTATATGAAGATAAGAATTTTGAAGAATATTTTAACTGGATCTTCTTGTCTAAGAAGTCGTGGATTTTTTTTAAATAATTTCGGTCAAGTTTAAGTCAGGGGGTTTAAAGAATAACCAGACCTTTCAAGGAAAAAAACAGTTGATTTTTATTTGAAATTTTGAAAGACATTTTTAAGAGTCGCATCTTTTGAAAAAACATTTACGAATTTCCAGTCAAAAGTTTTTTTTTTTTTTAGATAAAAATACATATTTTGAAAGAATACGTTTTTAAAAAATGAGTTTCCTTTCGTCTGAGAACACGGGGTTTTGAAAAATTTTTGAAATATTAATATATTAATATAATATTAAAATTTCCTAAGCAAACTTCTTGAACCATAGAAAGTAGTCGTTGCTTAAAAAATGAAAAAAAAAATCCAATTTTTTAAAATATTTTTAAAATCTCCTAGGTTTTTTAAGAGGTGTATTTTTAACAGTCGATTTATTTGCAATTAATTTTTAGTTTTTTTATTTGAAGGTCGCAAGTTTTATACAATATTTTCAACACCAAATTTACAAAAAATAGATCTCCTGTGGCAAACTTATAGATTTAAACTTTATTTAAAAGTTTCCGTAGCCAGCATCGTGAATTCTTCCAACACTTTCACTAAAAAATCATGCAAATTTACATTTTCTAATGTTGATTGTAAAAGAAATATATTTCAGAACTTTCTGTTGGAAAAGAAAGAGAGTGGGATTCTTGGTCCAAAAAGGGTTGACTATTAAATAAAAATTAGTTTTAATTTTTAGGGTTGTCACAAATTTGAAAGAATTTAAGTATCAGGAATCCAAAGAAAGAATCAGGACTGGCCATATAGATAGGATGGATAAACTATGATCTCTATGTCACATGTTCTTGGTCCTTATCAGATTTCTGATACTTCAACTCTACCAAATTTGTGAGAAACATGCTCTCCCCATTCAGTATGACTGTTACATAAATTTTAAAAATGTTTGGTATCTCCCATAAATAATCTATACCTATCTAATAATCTTAGCTACCTTGCGTATACGTAACGACAACACACATACGCACAATGGCAAATGCCAGAGTTCTTTGAACCATTAAAAGTCTTTGGGTAAATTTAATTATTTTAAGCTTTTAATTGTTCAGATGAAATACACACAATCATAAATTTGTACAGATTAGCTAGCTACACACAAATTATTCAGATTATTTTAATTGTTCCAAAAAATTATATTCATACAGAGATCTCAAGTAATTGAAGGCAATTTATAAATAAATAATTTTTTTACAAAGAAATTCAACAAAAACCTTACCTTAAATTATGCAAATATTTCAGCTTCTTGGAAGATTTTTTTGTTTGTAGATGACAGGCAATGATGATGATCCAATTGTTGTTGGTTTTGTTGTTTTTATTAACCCGATTTATTATACATTTATGATGAATTTAATTTACAATAATTACAACACGCACTCACACTTCAACAAAACGTCGAATTTGTCTCCGTAAAAATGAAATTGAAAAACAAATGCCTTGAAGAATTTTCTTTTCCAAATAATACTTTTAATAATTTCTATTGAAATTTATTTTCCAGTTTTGACATTTTAATAAAGGATATCATTGTTGTTTTAACAATTTGTTTTTTTTTTTCTTTGTTCAAATGCCACTTGTCCATGTGTGTGGCATTCTATTTCAGTATTGCTTTCACAAAATTGTGGATATAAGCTAATATTATTTGATTTACAAGAAAGTTAGTCTATTGTTGATATAAATACTTTTGTTGATCCTTTGAATATATTTGAGGGTATCTATTTTCGAATCTATACGTGGTCTGTTTAACTCTTTTTCCTTTTCTTTTTTTTTTCTTTTTTTTTGTTTTTCTTTTCTGCCTTTAATCCTTAATTAGCCTAACAAGGTGCAAATTAATCCACTCTAGTTAATTAAATTGTTGAAATTTGCGGAGGTTGGTGTATGTTTGTACGTGTGACATTACGAGCAACACATTTCAAATTAATTTTTCCTTGTTACTCATGTTGCTATGCCTGCGGTTTTTTTATTTGTTTGACTTGGTACCTTCTTTCATGTGAGTTTCCTTGGCGCAATTCACTTAAGTTGAATGCCTCTTTGTTGCATATGGGTTTATTTTTTTGTAAATTTTTGCAATTAAATTTTAAAATCACTTAAAATAATAATCTTTTTTGGAATATTTAATTTATTTAAAAGGTTGTGATTATTATTATGTTATTTTTTATTTCATTCACTTTTTTTAAGCTTTTTTCACTTGGAACTTATTTGAATTTTTCATCCAATGGAATTTGTATTTTTGATTCACTTTTATTTTGAAGCTGGAAAATACAAGAAAAAGAAAAAAAAATTATTAATATATTGGAAATAAAATTGAATTCATAATAAATATAAAATTGGAATTATAGGGATTAGAATGAGATAGACGGAGAAAAAAGAGACGCATTCAAAACAATTATAGAATTATAATATAAATTTAGTTAGGTAAAAATCAATGAATAACAAGAAAAAAATTTTTAAGTTCGGCCGGGCCGAACTTTGAATACCCTCTACCACATATAAAGAATTTCGCAATTTTAATTTTTTTTTTTAAATACCGAATGTAGCCGTTATATTAGGGTTTATACGACGACGTGGGCCTGCATCATCAAAATACCGAATATAGGGACGTACTATTATATGGGGCAATACCAAAACTTGGACCTGTACACTCAATTTTCTATCATTGGCTGTAGTATCCATTACCAATTTCAAATACCAAATTTGAAGCAATGCCGGTGAACTATGCGGTAAAATCATCAAATATCGGGTTATATTTGAGCTATACGATGACGTTTATCTGCACAGACAATTTCCTGTCATAAGCTGTAGTACCTATTACTAACTTCAAATACCAATTTGAAACAATTCCGGTGAATAATGTCGCTAAAATCATGAAAATACCAAATATCGGGTGGTAAGGTGACATTAGGGCTATACGATGTCATAGGCTGTATTATTCATTGCGAACTTCAAATACCAAATTTGAAACAATTTCAGTGAATAATGTCGCTAAAATCATGAAAATACCAAATATCGGGAGGTGCCGTTATATGGGGGCTATACGAAGACGTAGACCTGTACAGACAATTTTCTGTCTTAGGCTGTAGCATCCATTACGAACTTCAAATGCCAAACTTGAAACAATTCCTGTGAATAATGTCGCTAAAGTCATCGTAATACTGAAATACCGTTTTACAGGGTTGCCCATATTCGACGGACCTTTGGGCCCATTCCAATCGACGAGGCTTGTCCGCAGGCAACATTCTTTGCGTCAATTGAATTTTGTACGGGAACAAATGCAAATCAATGCGAATAATCCGTTGTAAAGTGGACCGAGCCATGCCCAACTGCTGAGAACGGCGTTTTTGGTATGTTCTTGGGGACCTCTCAACACTGGTTCGTACGGCAGCGATATTTTCGGCCGATCGCTTTGGTCGACTTTTATATGGCCTCTTCGGATTAGAAAGAGCCTTACCAGTCGAAAATTTTTCGTATAAACGCTTAATGGTGTTCTTAGAAGGCGCACTTCGCACATTTTTTTTTTTTTCACAATTGACTTCTTCTGTTTAATGTAAATTTCATGGTAAAAATCTGCTTGGACTGACGCTTCAAACACGGTATGTCATTAAGCGATGTGACATCTTTGTCAAAAGTTATGGCGTTGCCAGATGAGTCCGTCGAATATGGACAACCCTATATTGGAGATATAGGAAGATGTGAACCTGCACAGACAATCTTCTGGCAAACATGGACCTACATGGTCCATTTTCATTTCGTTCGGAAGATAGAGTGATTTCCATAGATAGACGATAGACGATCAGACGGACGGACATAGCTAAATCGACGTAGAATTATATACCGATCAAGAATATTATACTTTGTGCGGTCTAAAATGTATATTTCGAGGTGTTACAAACGGAATGACAAACTTAATATACCCTTCATACTTTGGTGGAGGGTATAAAAAATGTCTTACTAAAAAAATCCTGCGAACGTGATCTAAAGCTTTCTTAAAGCACGAATTTCCAATGATCCCACTTTATCCCAACCTAGAGTGGCCTTCAGGCTAAATTTCAACATTATATGTATTTTGAACCGTTCAATAACAATGTTGCACCCATCAGTACAATTGGTACAGTTTAAATAGAAATTAAAAAAAGCATCAGGTAAACCCTTGCTTCATTTCTTTGGTGACCTATAGTAAAATTTGATGAAGAATATTTTTTTCTTGTACGTTATACAGGGTGAGATAAAAAAACCGCAACCAAATTCAGACTGCTGTCATTTCTAAGCCACTCATCCGACAGCTATTAAAATTATTCCAGTTGCAGCTCATTATATTGTTTATAAGCGTAGAAAAGCATTTTGGTGAGAATTTTCCAGAAAAAAATTTTTCGTGATGGAATTCAAGCGTGATTGTGTGATTTGTTTATATTTGTCTGCCCTATCGTTAGTGCACTACAGCATTTAAATGTGAATGAATCTTTTGTGTCTCATAACATCGTTCGTTACCGTGATACTGGTAGCGTAGACCGACGTCAAGGAAGTGGACAGAAGAAAAAAGCAACATCAACAGAAATGGTTCGAAAAGTAAAGAAGCGACTCGTGAGCTGAACATATCGCAATATTCCATTCGGCAAATAATGAAAACTGAGCTCGGGGTAAAGCCATTAAAATTCCCAAAAGTGGAAAAACTTACACCGCAACAGAAAGACAATAGATTCAAAAGAGCTAAGGAGTGGCTTCACTTGGTCAAAAGTGGTGATGGTGATGGTGTGGGCCGCCATAACAGCTTAGATGGTCTCTCTCCGCTCATATTAATCGACCGTGGCATCAGAATAAATGCCAAATATTATCTCGAAAATATTTTGGAGGCCTATTAAAGCCTTGGGCACGCAAACATTTTGGCCGCAGACCCTGGACATTCCAACAGGACTCAGCACGCGCCACCCAAGAATGGTTACAAAATGAGGTTCTTCGCTTCATTTCCAGCGCACAATGGCCACAAAAATCTCCGGATTCCAACCCGTTGTACTATCGGGTCTGGAGTATTTTGGAAAGCAAGGTTGGAACTAAAAAATACCAAAGTGTCGATCACCTCAAGCAAGCGCTTCGCCGGGAATGGGCCAAAATACAGCAGAGCAACATTCGAGGAGCGTGTGACGGTTTTATTGGCCGTTTGAAGGCCACAGTTCGTGCCAAAGGTTACCAATTTGAACAAATCTAAACTTATTCTAAAATTTGATGCTATTTTCCACATTTTTGCTTTCATTCAATAAAATTTAAAAAAAAAAAAAAATGTAAAAATTATGGCGTTTGACTTTGTTGCAGTTTTTTAATTCAACCTGTACATTTTGAATGTAATTTTCAGAAAAATTATTGTATATTGAAATATGATTTATTCCTAGATTTATAGTTGCTCTGTTTCAGAACCTGCAAGAATCTGCTGGTTTTGCAATTTTTTACGATATCATAAAGGGAAAACCGGTTATCGTAGTAAACATTTTTACATTCTTGCAGTTCTGGAACATACCATGTGAAATTTTGTGTAGAATAGTTCCTCTTTTAACACCTTCCGCATAAACCGAAATTTTATATAACTTCCAGACGTCAACTTGAAAAAAGTCCGATTAAAATGTATCAAAAAATTGGGAAACATTTTTTTTTTTGGTTTTTTTATTATTTTTTTATATGCAGTGAAAATAGAGATTTCTTTTTTTCGATGACCTATAGTAAAATTTGATGAAGAATATTTTTGTCTTTGACGTTATACTTCAAAAATGATGCTTTGGTGTAGATGTTTGTAAAAACTCTCCTGAAAGTACGGCTTTAACACTAGAATGTGTTTTTATACCCTACACCACAAGGTGGTCAGGGTATTATGTCTTTGTGCATTTGTTTGTAACAGGCAGAAGGAAACGAGATAGACCCATAGTTCCTTTATAAAATATGCATAGAATCACATTTTGAGTCGATTTATGCATGTCCGTCCGTCTGTCTGTCCGTCCGTCTGTCCGCCTGTCCATGTATTTTTGCAAACAAAGTACAGGTCGCATTTATTGCACGATCCAGACGAAATTTTGCAAAGATCATTTGTTTGGCCCAAGGACGAACCCTATTGAAATTGGAGATAATCGGTCAAAATTTAGATATAGCTCCCATATATATCTTCGTCCGATTTGCCTTTTATTGTGCACCAAACGTGTAATATCAGCCCGAATTGTATGGAATTTTCCAAATTAGGCCTGAAAATATGTATGCCAAATTTGATCGAAATCGGTTCAGATGTAGCTATAGCTCCCATATATATTGTTCATCCGATTTGTTATTTTTGTCCACCGCCACCGTAATATGCATTATGCAACAACAATATTTGAGGGAATATATAAAATACAGCTCAGAAATACATTTGCTAAATTTTATCGAGATCGGTTCAGATTTGGATATAGCTCCCACATATACCTTCGTCCGATTTACATTTTATTGTGCACCAAACGTCTAATATTTGTCCAAATGGGATGGAATTTGGCACTTACGACCGAATTGAGTCTAGAAGCTAGTATTTCAAATTTGGTGAAGATCGGTTCAGATATAGCTATAGCTTCCATATATATTATTCATCCGATTTGTTATATTTGTTACCCACAACCGTAATATGCACTCCGTAACAACGTTATTCAGGGAAATATATCAAATACAGGTCAGAAATATCTTTACCAAATTTTATCGAGATCGGTTCAGATTTGGATATAGCTCCCATATATATATTTATCCGATTTCAAATTAATTGTGCACCAAATGGGCAATACAATTCCGAATTTAAAAGATACAAATGCTTCGGCATATTTAGTCCTTTGAACTTTAAATTATAATTATAATCATAGCGTGTACGATTGAATTCTCCCATAAAAACTTTTAATTGTTATGTGGAGCTCTACTTAATTAGCAAAGTGATGTATGGTATCATAAAGTAGGCCCCGCCCGACTTTAAGACTTTCTTTACTGTTTTTTATTTACGAAAGTGTATGCTATTTTGTAAAAGATTTACACTCTTGACGTCTTCTGAGACCTATAGTAGAATTTTATGACAAAATAATTTTGTGGAATATTTTCAGTTGCTACAATCCTGTTAAAACATATTTAAAAAAAACCAGAATGACCCCTTTGTTGACTCGCTTGAGAGTTAAAATGTTCTACCAAGATATTCATCGTAGTTATATCAGTAATATTCCCAAAGACTCTATATATCTTAAATGCCCTAAATTTGTGGAGGAGGGTG